GTAATTCGGAGGCTCCTTTGGCTTCAGATGCAAACTTGTTGCTGGAACAACCACAACAACTTCATGTCCATTTTGGTGGAGTTTTGCCGCTACTGGGCGCATGCTGAGCCAGTGACTTCCATCCTGAGGTATCACCAGTATCTTTCCACCTTCAGCAAAGGTTAAAGATGAAATCAGAAGAAGAAATATCCCAGTATGTTGGTAGAAACACTGAAATAGAAGAGCCATTTTGGTGGAAGGAAACCAGAGAGCTCTGCTCTAGAGGTATCCAATGCAGTCTTCTATATGAAGGTCCTTGCAAGGGAATTTATTGATGGTAGGGATAAATATTTAACTTCCTAATATTGCTGCGGTAAGCCTTCAGTGATGCAACTGCTCATATAACAGGGAAGGTGAGCACACTGTTCTTAGAAAAAGATGCCCTCCTTTCTACTCTGTTAATTTTTAAGCTTGGAAGTGTGGCAGAACATCGCCTCCTTCATGGAACTAAGTTGAGGAATGTTATCTTGTAGGAAGAGTTGTGGTTAATACCATTGTCTTGGTAAGGACCCAGTGAGCAAATAAGCCTGGTTTTGATTTCAAAAAGCAACCTTTAAAATATACAGAGTCGAATAAATGGAAATTGCAACACCATTTCTTTTATGGCCTGGCCTAGCCTACCTGAGAATACCTAACCACTATGTAGAAGGCTGATGTTATATTCCTACCCCCTGGAAGCAGTCAAACCTGCATGTCTTACTCATATATCACAGCTACCAAGGTAGGCTTACAAGTGTTTGCTGTTCATTATGCAGGAGCAGAAGGCACCTGAACCACTTCTAGTATTGAAGAATGTTGTGTGTGCAGATGAGCACCAGAGCAGTTTATTACATGAGGTCTCGGAGAGTGACAGCTATGTGCCAGCTTGGAGGAAAGGCTTCCTCCCTGGACACTGAAGGACATAAACAAGATTGAAGCTTGAGTGACCCAAGACTGCACATTCATTTTGCTGTTAAAAGTATCCTTTGTGATAAACCTTGTGTGGGTTATTCCAGGTGTCTGTTTGAGATGGCAAGGAGTGTTGCAGCTATGCATCAGCTCTCCACTGTCATGCAAGCAGCTCTGAGGAGTTGAGACTATAAGCCATAACCATGTTGAAGGGTTTAAGTGCAGGTGTGCTTACTCTTCCCCCTGTGATTGCTCCAGCTGGAAGAGTCTCTCAAACTGCTTACCTCTGAGTTGGACTTGATGGTGAAGTGTGGATACCTTTTAACCTGAGCAGCAAACAGTGAGTGGCACTAAGGTAAGAGGAATGTTATATGAGCAAACTGTTTGTTGAGGCAGCCTGTAAGGGTTAATGTCATGTACTGGATTTGTTCTTTTGTTGTTAGATTGCTCACCTCCTTAAGCTGTGGCTCTTGCAAGCAGGAACAAGTAGAATCATAAAATCATAAAATAGTTAGGGTTGGAAAAGACCTTAAGATCATCTAGTTCCAATTGGCCTGCCATGGGCAGGGGAACCTCACATTAAACCATGTTATCAAAAGTAGCTCAAATGCAAGAGCACATGTATGATGTGATTTGACTCCCCAGGTTTCTAGATGATGAATTGGACATGGAGGAATCCTTGTGTAAATTGAACGCAGTCCTTTTTTGTGATGCTACCCAATGTCACTCAAATGCAGGCTGGTGAACCTGCCTCTTTTACGTAGCTATGGAGATAAACTGACATTTGCCGGCACAGGATAAAGTAGTATGTATATATTGTTTGACTAGCAGGACTTCAGAGGAAAAACAACCCATAAGAGCAATGAACTGCAAGCTGGAAAGTAAGTATTTGCAGTAGGCAGCTAAGCAAATCACAGAACACGGATCCAAATTCCAGGGCAGCCGCTTCCTAAGCCATAAGTAGAAGTCATATGAAAATGACAGTATGAGAGCCTGAAATGAGTGACTGCATCCTAACAGAAAGTGATATTTAAGGCTGCCCAGGTAACTGTAATTGGAATATTTCCCAACTTTTGACAAGGCACCATGTTTGGCCCCTGTAGATATAATACTCTCATTTCTGTGCATAGACTTCTGTCACATATTTGTATGTTTAGACTCCCCTTAGAGAAGGCATTTTCATTTAAACAGAAGACAAACTTCCTAGAGGAAGGGAAAGCAAGGCAGTAGTTTCATTTGATACAAGAGACTTTTTGGCAAAAGAACCGTGTTTTACAGCTTTCTTCAGTTTCTCCTCTTGAAAATATGTTTGGCACAGGGATGTGGACAAGAGGCAAGTGAAGCGGACAGTGAGATGAAGTGTTTGGTTAGAGCAGCTGTTTCAGGTTGATCCATCCTGTGCACTGAAGATGTACAATGTATGATGGTTAAACTTTCATTTTCAAAAGTTGGACTGGTTTTACTTGTCTGATGGTGTGTATTTGGCCATTGCAATATTAGATAGACGAGCAGCATTGTTAGCTTTAAACGTGCTCAACATCCTTAACAGAAGCGTCACAAACGGATGCTGATGTGATTGATATCAGGCTGCTCTGAACTGCCACTACATTCATCAAAAACTTGAACATTGCCGCCCCCCGCCAAATGACCCTCGTACTTGGTTCATGAGCAGAGCAAAGTTCTGGCTGTAGAACATGGCCTGTTTTCTTAATCCTTGTGTTGGACGAACAAACTAGAGGGTTTTATTCAATGACACCTCCCCTTTACTTGAGTAACTACTTATTTAAATCCAGGGTTGTTTTAAGGTTTAAAGTTTATCAGTTGTTTAAATAAGTAATGGGTGGTTTAAGTTAAAGAAATCAACCAAACAAGCCAGGAACAACTTTGAAATGTTGCTATAGGTGACATTTCCAAACTTTGCTTTGATCAAATCACATGGACTTTGTTTTATGAGCTGTCAGAAAGCAACTATGAATTCCCTTTGGATAAGGATGAGATATTCATCAAGGTGTCTCAGGGCTCATAGTCCAAGTTCTTTTGCAATGTCCCCCTAAGGAGGGACTGCTTTCTATGCCAGCCTTCTGGTACTTCTGGAGTCATTAGAGGATGACACTGGCACAGGACCTCTGCTCAGCCAAGATATTCTGTCTGATATCCTCTATGCCCTGTATGAAGCCTCCAGCCACACTTGGCAACTGGATTTCGGTGTCTGTTAATGAATACGTAATTGCTACTGTACAACGTGGAAATACAAGAGGAAATACAGCCTGATCCACCCGCTGTGGTTACCTCAGTCAGTGAGCTCCCGCTGGCTCATGTGGTGGCGTGTTCTCCCACCCCCTGTGAGACTGCAGGCTATGGACCATACTTATGACTCAGGAGGGTCAGACACCTTGGGATTGAATTCCCAGCTCTATGCTGGATAAAACACATATGCCCAGTTCTGCAAAAGCATCAGCTCCTCAGCACCCTGATGCCTTTCAGCTCTACAGTAGGTATTCCATGTCAGATGCAGCATAAAGGAGCCCTCCTTCTGCTGTATCTAACATGGAATAAGCTCCTCATGTGACAAAAGACACCTCATTTTGAATCTCCAGTTCTCTCTCCCTTTCCCAGCCATGCTGTCTTTTGGGGGGGGGGGGGGAGGTTGTCTGTTGAACAATGGGCTACCAGGTTTTGAAGAACTGTCTCCTGTTATCACAGGATTAGATTTCTGAACAGTAAGGGCCAACCCAAGGCTTGCCACTGTGTAGGAAGAAGTTGGTTTTGTTCTCCCGTATGACTCACTTCACATTTGTTCGCACTGTGTTATTGCCTTGTTGCTGGGCACTGTTCCAAGTGAAATAGGAGGAATTTCTCTGCTGTCTGTAGAAAATATAGGTAGGAAAGGGCAGGGTGAAGATAAGGGGAACACACAAGGTTTGTCTAGGTTTGGAAAATGTGATTTCCACCAAATGACATGTGTTAGTATGAAATGCCAGCTATACAAGAAGGACAGGAATGCTCTGCCCATGTAGCAAGCTTACAAACTGTTTGCAGCTCAGAGACCTTCAAGACATAGAGATTTCTGTCATGCAACCAGCAAGAATTTGCCTCTTAGATCACAAACTACAAAGTGCCACTTTTGAGCCTAAGGTGAGAGAATGCCTTCTAATATTGCTCTAATATTCCAATTTATAATATTATTCTTCATTTGACTTGCTCTTTACTGATTGCAGTGGGCTCTGCACAGGTCTGTTGAAGAGTATAAAAGAAATCTGATAGTAGACAAAGCCCTTGAGCTCAAATATACTGTACTGCAACTGTGCAATGATACTGTGTGATGCCTGTTCAGAAGGGAGTATGTTCTGCTTTGTCCCTGGAAAGAAATGTCGAATGCTACGTATTGGTTTAGAGACTATAAAGTATTAAAAGAGATTTTGTCAAAAGAGATTTAAATTTCTCTATTAGCTTTACAAACCCTGCAGAACAATTCTGATAAAAGCAAAAGTCAAGGAAGAGGTATGAAAATTTCTTTGAGTTTTGCATGCGTCTTTCACCTTTTCACTATTTGAGATTAATTTTTCCCATTTCAACACGACATTTATGTTTCAGTGTGATCTACAAACAGACATAACTCAACATAGACAGACAGTTTGGAAACCATATGTCATAAAACCACAACCAAAGCAAATTAACTGACTTTGCTGAGCCTAGAATGAAAACCAAAATCCAGTTCTCAGATCATGGTCATTAGGTTTACAGTCAGGTGAAAGAAATATAAGTCAGACTCCATGAAAATGAAATCAAAACCTGGTTAATGAATAATATACAGTAGATGAATGCTAGATGAAGCCCATTTTTTGTTGGACTTCTCAGAAAATCCATATTAATTCACAGCAGTTATCTGCCTCCATCAAGGTAATTTGATTTCAGACTGCGGAAAACAACTGCAAAATCCTGGTTGTTTTAAATCATTATAAATAAATAAATAATATGAAAGAAAATAAAATACATCAAACCCCCTGAAGTTCCAGAAACGACATCATCACATTTCATTGCAAACGTATGATTTGGAGGTATAAAACCCATACCTTAGGCAGTGGTTTCCTCTGGGCGCAGTTTATGCCTCCAATAAAGACCATATTGGGCATCACAGGTCTGACGTACTCAAATACAAAGTCAAATCTCAGAAGCCAAATGGAAGCAGAGTCCACGAAGTCTATGAGGGATACATCTCTCTGAAGAACTTCAGAAGCAAACTTTAGTGCTATTTCATAGAAACCGTTACAGTACGCAGGCTCCAGGAGGTAAATCAGTGCATTTTCCACTCTCTGGAAGAAAGTCATTTGGTCGGAGTTGAAGGTAAATAGCCTGGGTATGTAGGACAGAGGACTTGGGCACCGCGGAGCATCATAGTGTAAGTTGCAAGGAAATCCTCTCATAAAGAACACATATGGAAGAGAAAAATATTGAGCGAGCAGTGGTCCGCACATAAAGATGGGGTCTGTTAGGAGAGCATCAAATCTGCTTTGATTCACGTACTGAAGGAGCTCCTTGTTGCTGAATAGGTTCTTGCATTGAGTAAATAAGAGTTGGAAAATAAGTACTGAGCTGTTGTATATTGCTAGGGTTTTCAGTGGGAAAGGCAGGTCCTTCAGGTGAGTGGCAACGTAATCAGAGAAGCCATTATCCAAGTCTTCTAGTGTGTAAGACACCGGGAATGCTTTCACTGTGTAGGTCTGTGCCACTGTCATCCGCCAGCTTACTTCTGGTATAAGCACTACCACTTCATGTCCTCTCTCGCTGAGCTTTTCAACCAGTGGCTGCATGCTAAGCCAGTGACTTCCATCCATGGGCAATACCAGGAGTTTCCCTCCATCTGAGAGGCCAGGAAGGAGGAGGATGAAAATCCAGGCAGAGCAAAGCCTCAAGGTCATGTTCCTGTGGTCAGAATAAGGACTGGGAAAGTCTCCTCCTTCAGGCTGCAGCTTGAAGATGCTTTTGAAGTAAGCCGATGGGTTTATATGCCGAGTTGGGCTGATTTGTCATAGTCTGCTAGTTAATGATTTACTGCTTTGGATTATGGGCTGTTCATCTTCTTTTCCTTTCTCATTACTTGTGAAGCCAAGTGCAGTGACCCTTTAATGTGCTGAGTCATTGAAGCTTTTATGTTCAAGGGAGAACTAGCTTCTCAGCACGCTAGTAAGATTTCCTACAGCTCTCTTTATCATTGATGCAACCTGTCTTATGCCTTGGCCAAGACTAAGGGAGGCAGGTTGGGTGCAAACAGCTCCACCACCACAGTAACAAATGTAAACAGCCTCAAGATATTTCCTAGATCAAGCAAGTTTGAGCTAGCAGGAATCTCCAGAGTCTACAATGACACAAAGAAGGGACAATGAATGAGGACTCAGAGCGTTAATGCAGTTCTTACACAGCCTATGAGATGGCTCGCAGGCAGCTGAAATCTCCTCATCAATTGCCAATACACCAAGTAGAGGCCAGATATAAGACATGTACTAACTGTGTCTTAATGACTACTACTCCCAGTACGGCTTGAACTCTTCAATAGAGACTTGGGAGTGAGCCCAGCTGTTGGATCTGACTTAGCCGAGGAGCAGCTTCAGCACAAGTGTGGGTTTATGAGAGCCATCAGCTTCTCGGTAGAGAAACTACAGGAAAAGTATCAGAGAGCAGATTTCTGTCAGGATAACTTTCCAGAAAACCCAATGTATGAGCTTCAGAGTAGGGGAAGAAGCTCTGAGGTAAAAATGAAACAAATGCCCTCAGAATCTTTGATGCTATTATAAACTCTACGGAAAAAATGACAAATAACTAAATCGTGTTCTTTCCAAGTTTATAGAAAATGCATTTTCAAATGAACATTGGGAAAATGAGCAGTTAGCAACCAATCTTTTCCACAAAAAAAGTTAATCTATATATTTTGTAATGGCCACTTCCCATTTGCAGCAAAGGGGTAAGCAGAGAGCTGGCAGGGACACATCCTGCCCTCCCTTCCCTTCTCCAGCAGGATACATTTGCCATCCAAACCTTGCACTGCACTTATGACAGCGAGTGCAAAGGCAAGCCCAGGTTGGGTGAAGTTAATCAGTACCTTAGAGGTGTTTCTGAGTGTTTGAGGGATTGCCAGCAGCTCCCTGAGTTGGCTTGGTTATCTGGCAAGGGCTTCTTGATGAGTTAAACTGTGCTGGTTTCAAGGGAGCGCGAGATAACAGTTGCAGGTAACCAGTGCAAGAGGACAGGAGGAACTCTGAAGTTGGATAAGAAGCCGCAGAGCTGGGTGATGCCACGGAACAAATGAGCAGCCCCAATGGAGTGGGGCTGTGCTGGAAGGCTGCAGCAGGATCGAGGGATGCTCTGCCAGCGCAACTGCTGCCTGTGGCTGTGTGGCCCTGCTGGCATGATCAGGGAATCATAGTCTCATAAAAGGGTCTGGGTTGGAAGGGACATTAAAGATCATCCAGTTCTAGTCTCCTGGGGTGTTGGGTGGAGAAGCTCCCTATGAGCCAGCTTCAGTGTGCACGTGGGCCCAGAACCCCGCCGTGTGCTGGGCTGCACCCCCAGACCATGAGCAGCAGCTCAGGGAGGGGATCCTGCCCCTCTGTTGTATGAAGGGGAGAACCCCTGCTGCAGCCCTGATCCAGCTCTGGGGCAACAGCACAAGAGAGACATGGAGCTGTTGGAGCAAGGCCAGAGGAGGCCATGGAGATGCTGCGAGGGCTGGAGCAGCTCTGTTCTGGAGCCAGGCTGAGAGAGCTGGGCTGGTTCAGCCTGGAGAAGAGAAGGCTCCTTAAGGGGAGACTTCAGAGCAACTCCAGTGCCTAAAGGGGCTGCAGGAAACCTGGAGAGGGGCTTTGGACAAGGGCCTGTAGGGACAGGACAAAGGGAATGGCTTTAACCTGCCAGAGGGGAGACTGAGATGAGCTCTTAGGCAGAAGCTCTTCCCTGTGAGGGTGCCCAAGAAACCCTGAAAAGTGAACAGAAAGTACCAGGGAGCTCATGTGCAGGCAAGAAAATATTCCACCTTCATCTCAGGAAGAAGGGGAAGACTTGCTCACATCTGCGCTGTTGTAAATGCCCCAGTCTTCGTCTAAGGTCACACATCACCAACTCTCACTTCCTCCTTGTAGAAGGATGAGAGTGCAAACGCTCCATCCTGCTGCAGCCCTGTGCCGCATGGCGGCTCTGCTGCCACAGCCCCTCACTGCCATGGGAGGTGCCCCTCTCCACGCCCCAGGGTCCCACACAGCGCTTGGCAATAGTCAGTGCTTGAGGGGGAAGTTGCCACAGAGGAGCCCTAATACTTCTGGAATAGTTTCCCCCCTCCCTCTCCTGAGGGACCTGCAGGCACAGCCCGAGGGGCCCAGGGGACACAGGGCAGGGACAGGCAGTGCCTGTGCCTAAGGGGCAGCAGAATGGCACCAGGGAGCAAGTCCCACAGAGGGGCCCTTCTCCCCAAAGCATCCTCCTGCTCCTGCTCCTACATTAGGGCATCTGTCAGGCCACACACAACCTCTCCACACTGCAGGCCTCTCTGTCCATCACCATGACAGCGGGCTGGGGTTGTTACACAGCACCTTCTGCCCTGTGCCCTAGGAATACAGGGACCCAGCAGACATTAGGAAGTTGCTGAGGTCCCAGGCCTAGCAACGACGAGCAGCAAGAGGTCTGGTGCCAGTGAACAGGGAGCTGCCAATCTATGTATCAGAGGGCAGTGTTTTTGGTGCCCAAGCCAGGCATGAAGAGGAAGAGGTCGGAGATGGGAGGCAGAGCCAATTATGGCTCTAACGGTGCAGAGCCAATGGAAGTAGACCAGCCTGAAGAGCTGGAGGAGCTGATGGAGGTGGATCCACCTAAGGATCACGAAGAGCCCATGGAGATTGATTCCATCACCATCAGGAAGAAATGAAAGACCTGAGGTAACACCAAGAAGGGCTCATGGTGGCTGCTCTCCACAACACCCAGGAGAAGCCTTCAAGGTGGATCTACCGAAAGATGAGGAAGAGCCCATGGAAGTCGATTCCCCCACCATGAAGAGGAAACAAAAGACCCAAGTTAACACCAAGAAGGGCCCATGGTGGCTACTCTCCACAACACCGGGGAGAAGCCATCGAGGTGGATCCACCTCTCACATGAAAAAAGCACATGGAGCTGCATCCACCGGCAGACAGAGAAGGACACATCGAGTTGGATACACCCAATGGTCAAAAAGAACCCACAGAGCTGGATCTACCTGCAGCCAAAGAACACAGGAAAGGCTGGTTTACTCCCATTATGTCAGGCCACACACAACCCCTCCACACTGCAGGTCTCTCTGTCCATCACCATGACAGCGGGCTGGGGTTGTTACACAGCACCTTCTGCCCTGTGCCCTAGGAATACAGGGACCCAGCAAACATCAGGCAGTTGCTGAGGTCCCAGGCCCAGCAATGACGAGCAGCAAGAGGTCTGGTGCCAGCAAACAGGGAGCTGCCCTGCGATGTCTCATGGGGCAGTGTTTTTGGTGCCCAAGCCAGGCATGAAGAGGAAGAGGTTGGAGACGGGAGGCAGTGCCAACTGTGGCTCTGACGGTGCAGAGCCAATGGACGTAGACCAGCCTGAAGAGCTGGAGCAGCTGGTAGATGTGGATCCATCTAAATATCAGGAAGAGCCCACGGAGATTGATTGATTCCATCACCATCAGGAAGAAACAAAAGACCCAAGGTAACATCAAGAAGGGCCCATGGTGGCTATTCTCCACAACACCGAGGAGAAGCCATCGAGGTGGATCCACCGAAAGATGAGGAAGAGCCCATGGAAGTCGATTCCCCCACCATCAGGAAGAAATGAAAGACCCAATGTAACACCAAGAAGGGCCCATGGTGGCTGCTCTCTGCAACACCCAGGAGAAGCCATCAAGGTGGATCCACCAAAAGATGAGGTAGAGCCCATGGAAATCAATTCCCCCACCACGAAGAGGAAACGGAAGACCAAAGTTAACGCCAAGGACGGCCCATGGTGGCTATTCTCCACAATACCGAGGAGAAGCCGTTGAGGTGGATCCACCTCCCAGAGGAAAAGAGCACGTGGAGCTGCATCCACTGGCAGCCAGAGGACACATGGAGGTGAATACACCCAATGGCCACAAAGAACCCATGGAGCTGGACCTACCTGCAGCCAAAGAACACCGGAGAGGCTGGTTTGCTACCATTATGCCCTGCCTGGCAGCTCCTTTCTAGGCACCATAAAAGGCCTCCCGACCATAACACCCAACTCTTTATTGCCTGGCTTGGGAAGCTACATTAGGAAGACAAAGGAGAATAAGGATGTTTTTCTCTGTTGTTATTTCACTGAGCCATCAAATCCCAGATGTATACAGTGCAGCTTCACATGTGTTCTTTGTGTATGGGTGTGTTTATTAACCACCTCAGATGTGTATCAAGGAAGTCAAACAGGGGTCAGTTTAATGGAGACTCTGGTGACTGAACCTACTGATAATGCAAACAGAACCCTCAAACACCACAGCCTGTGCCTGTCCAGAGCACCCCTTGGGAACAACACAAACCCTGACAGGTAACAAACACCTTCCTCTTCATGAGCACAAGGGCTGCTGAGTGCCAGGAGCATTAAACCTATTGAGGCACCATGAGCACAGGGAAAACATGGAGCTGTTGAAGTGAGTCTGGAGGAGGCCCCAGAGATGCTGCCAGGGTTGGAGCAGCTCTGCTCTGGAGCCAGGCTGAGAGAGCTGGGCTGCTTCAGCCTGGAGAAGGCTCCTTAAGGGGGAGACCTGGAGAGGGGCTTTGGACAAGGACCTGTAGGGACAGGACAAAGAGGAATATCTTTAAGGCCCCTTCCAACCCAAACCACTCTGTAATTCTGTGATTGATCTATATTCCTGGCTTTGTTTCCCAGCAGGGCTGGTGATGGTTGGGTAGGTTTTGGTGTAGCTGGGTTGGTCCCATCTGTAGCAGCCCTATCACAGCACTGCAGCAGGAGCGGCCCCGCTCCAGGCTCTGGC